TTTTAATAAAACACATGGTATATAAGGGGCCTTGAGAAACCTTCCAGAAAAGAAACATTCTGTGTGTGTGTGTGTGTGTGTGTGTGTGTGTGTGTTGTGTGGTATGTGTATGTTTGTGCAATTAATGCAGTTTCTCAAAATGATTTAATAATGGGAACCTTTTATCTATAACAAGAATTTCTAAACCAAAGCATAAGTATTCAGCAGAATGCCTAAGCTGACCTAAGCATTTACCCTATATTATTAAAAACTCATAAATAATGTTTTTAATTGATGTATACCTTTTCACTAAGTGGATATGACATGATTCTCACAGTTTTTCCCCTTTACCAGAATATATTTGAACCTAATTTTCAGCTTTTATAAATAATGCTAATATGAATATCCTTGAGTAGTCTTCCTCTGTAAGGGGCATAAAACTTTTATAATAGTTTTTCAGCTCCACATCAAACCGATTTGTAACAGTAGATGACAAAGCTCATTGTGCTATGTCCTTATTGTCCAGTGCTCATTAAGCTTACTTAAAAACACACAATTTTGACTGTTTGATAGACCTCAGAAATATGAATTCACTGTTTTTATCTTTAGGGTTTTCTGGTAATAAATAAAGTTAATATTTCCTAGTTTTTTTAATTTGCATTTACTCTTATGTAGACTGTCTTTTTTCTATATATTTATTGAGACTGTAGTTTTCTCATTTATTCATATGAGTTTCACATATGTAAATAAATTTAGACCCTTTTAGTCATATATATTTGTATTTATTGCTTTGTAAAACATTCCTTGTCTATTCATACTTTGACAGATAATAAATGTGCATATTTATGGGATACAATGTGTATATTTATGTGATGTTTTGATGTGATGTTTCATGCAGTATTGGAAGATACAATCAAGATAATTAATGTATTCATCACCATACCAATTTATCAAATTTTTTAGTAATGTTAAGAACCTGTTCTTTTAGCAATTCTGAATTATAAAATTCATTATTGCTAACTTTGATCAATATCTTCCCTTTCTTTATCCTTTCCCCCACCTCATCCCAAGCCTCTGGTAACTACCTTTCTACTCTCTGCTTTTATGAGTTCCTCTGTTTTTAGATTTGCCATATACATCAGATCACATAAATAAGATCATACAGACCATACTTATATTTCTGTGCTTGGCTTATTTCACTTAGCCTAATGTTCTCAAGTTTAATCTATGTTCTCTGAATGACAGACTATCCTTATTGTTTAAGGTTGTATAGTATTCCATCATGCATATGTACCATCTTTTTCTTCATCTATTCATTTGTTAATGGACACTTACATTGCTTCCATATCTTACCTATTGTGAATAATGCTGAAATGAATATGAGAGTATAGCTATCTTTTCAATATACATGTTTTAATTCCTTTGGATATGTACCCAGAAGTGGAATCTGCTGAATCATATGGTAATTCTATTTTTAGTTTTTGAGCAAACTCTATACAATCTTCCAAAATGGCTGCACTAATTTACATTCGTACTAAATAGTATACAAGTGTTCCCTTTTGTTTACATCCTCACCAATTTATGTTACCATTCATCTTTTTCATAATAGCCATTCTAAAGGGTGTAAAGTTATGTCTCAATGTGGTTTTAATTTGTATTTCCCTGATAATTAGAGACCTTTAAGCATATTATCGTATTTTTGTCCATTCATATTGCTTGTTTTGAAAAATGCCTGTTAAAATCTTTTGTCCATCTTTTAGTTGAGTTATTTGATTTCTTGATGCTGACTTGTTTGAGCAACTTACATAGTTTAAATATTAGTCCCTTATCAGATGTATGGTTTACAAATACTTTCAATACTTGGTTTGTCTCTTCAGTCTCTTGTTTCCTTTGCTGTGCAGAAGCATCTTTTTATTATGATGTAATCTCATTTGTCTATTTTTGCTTTTGTTGCCTTTGCTTTTAGAACACTATCCAAGAAATAATTTTCAAGACCAATGTCATGGAGTTTTTCTTTGTGTTCCTTTCTTGTAGTTTTACAATTTGAAGTCTTAAATGTAAATATGTTATCTATTTTATTTTTCTATATGTTGTGAAATAAGGGTCCAGTTTTATTTTTATTCATATGAGTATCATGTTTTCACAACACTATTGAAAAGACTGTTATTTCCCCATTGTGTGTTTTTGAAAGCTTTAATAAAAATCAATTGACTGTGAATCATTAAGTTTATTTCTGGGATACTTTCTTTTCCATTGGTCTGTGTCTTTTCCATTAGTTTGCGTTTATGCCAGTGCAATGCTGTTTTGAATGCCTTATATTATATTTTGAAATAAGAAAGTGTGATGCCTCCAGCTTTGTTCTTTTGGCTCAAGATTTCTTTAGCTATTCAGGATCTTTTCAAGTTTCAAACTAATTTTAGAATTTTTTTCTATTCCTGTGGAAAAAAAATGGCACTAGAATTTTGAGAGAAATGTTATTGAATGTGTAGATCATGTTAGGTATTAGGGGAATCATTTTAATTATTTCATTCCATGAACATGGGATATTTTTCCATTCATTTATGTTTTCTTCAATTCCTTTCATCAATGTTTTATACTTTTCATTGTACAGATCTTTTATTTTCTTTGTTAAATTTGCTCCTAAGTACTTTTTATGCTACTCGTGAAAGAAAAATAAATTTTGAGGCCCCCAAATCACTAAGCTAAAGGGAAAAGTCAAGCTGGGACCTACTTAGGGCCAAACTGCCTCCCATTCTATTCAAAGTCACCCCTCTGCTCACTGAGATGAATGAATATCTGATTGCCTCCTTTGGAGAGACTAATCAGAAATTCAAAATAATTGAATCATTGGTCTCTTATCTACCTATGACCTGGAAGCCCTCTCCCCACTTCTTCCCACCTTTGCTTTGAGTTGTCCTACCTTTCCAGACCAAACCAATGTTCACCTGGCATATGACGATTGATGTCTCATGTCTCCCTAGACTATATAAAACCAAACTGTGTTCTCACCACAGAGGGCAATCTGGGTGGCATAACTTAAGAACCCTCACTCAAACAGTTAATTATAAAAAGCATAAAATTCTTGGTTTGTTTATATATTGCTCTTCTTTCATTGATAAGTATCACTGTTCTTTTGAATTTTCTGTCAGATGAACCACTTATTCATTTTATTAGGTTTGAATTCCAGAGAGTTATCTTGCTCTTTTATATGGGACATACTTCTCTGTTTCATTTTCCTTGACTCTCTGTGTTGGTTTCTGTGCATTACATACAAGAACAACCTCTTCCAAATTTGTTAGGCTGTGCTTGTGTAGATTATCCTCCCTAACCACCCCAGCCAGACATTCTAAGTGCCTTTCAACTCTCTTTGCTTGTCCAACCTGATGCCTTTTTTCTTGGTGACATCCAAGAAAGTAGAGAGTGAAAAGTTTTGCTATTACCTCGAGAGTAGTGTGATAGGAGCCAGTATATTAGAATGTATCTGCAGATGTTGGGGTATTGTGTGTTCCCTTTTCTTCTCTCTTTTCAAAGAAGCTGAGAGCCAGAGTATATCTTCTACTTATTCTGCCCTACACTAAGGAGAGAATCTGAGGCAGATGTCTATACTTTTTATCAGAGTGCTTATTTTCAACCTGGGAAGACAGCTGAAAGTTTATATGTTACCATTGTGTTATCTGTGGTCTAGGAGACTCAGGCATGCAGAGCTCTGTCAAATCCCAGAGCCAGGTGACTTAGGAGCCAGTCCTTTGGATGAATGCTGTAAAAGTTGGGGCACTGGACTCATGCAGAAACTACTTCCATGGAGGGTCTTCAGATCTGGATGTATTTTTGGAACAAGCCTGGGAAAACGTGCTGGGAGTGCCCACTCTCTGGTTCAAGCAATTAGAAGTCTCACACCCTCCTAGCCGGAGGATACTCCTGGTCTGGAGTTATCACTGAAGCCAGGAGAAAAGGCATAGGATGTGTTTCCTTTCTCTTTCAGGCACATGTAGATTCCCTAGCCTCTCTCTAATGAGAAATTGAAGAACTTTATCTCAAGAATTTATTTAAGGTGGAAGCCAGAGGAAAGGATGCAGAGATGTCCTTCCTCCTATTCTTGCTCTTTGATACCTCCCGTCACTTTTCCTGGAAAGTTTCCAGAACTGGAATTATCACTGGACCAAGGCAGGGAAGAAGGTGTGAGGAGTAGCATCCCTCCCATTTATGCTCAAAGGGCCTTATTCTTTATTTGCTAGGTATGCTACCAGATAGGGCATATTGGAGGCAAGAACGACAGGAAGCTAATAGGAAAGCATGTTGTCAAACCCTTTTCAGGAGAAAAGTAGAAACTAGGCTGATCCCAAGGTCTGCAGCAGCTGGGAGTGCTCATAGGATTCAAAACCCCTTTGTTCTTTGTGATTGAAGGAAATCCTTCAATGTCATTTTCTTGCCTTTCCTCAAGAATAATGGTTTAAGATCCAATCCCTTTGGCAGAGACTTTAAAAAAAGCTGGGTACTACATTACATGTTTCTTCACCCTTCAATAGAAAGGTGAGGGTTGGGGTTTCCTTCCCAGTTATAAGGTGCTATGCTCAGGGTGGAGTTTCATGCATGAGTGTTTCTTCACTTTTTCTGCTCATTTTGATATGGATATTTTCTCAGGCTTTCTGTGTGTAGGAGTCTTTCAACTGCATTCTGGCTTTCTCTTTGAAAGAACTGATCCATGTGTAGGTGTTTACTTGATGTGGCTGGGGGAAGAGAAATGATCAGAGCCTCCTATTCTGCCATGTTTCTGAATTCTCTCTCCTCTTGTCAATTAAATTTTTACTGTGTGTTTTAATTTGTAGAATTGTGTGTGGGTTAAAATATTCTGCATTTCTCATTACATTTTTGTTTCCATTGCTCCTATAAAGTTGACCCTATAATCACTATTCACTTTCCTTTCCTAGCACAACTTTTAAATCTCATTATTTGGTTAGTAATTCTGAAACTAGTATAAAAAATAAAATAAAATAAGGCAAAACAGCAACAGAAAGCAACAATACTAGCCACTTACTGGGTTCCTTATATTTGCCAGACACTATTCAGGATCTGGAGTTGTAGAAATAAATCTGACATTATCTGTCCTCAGGCAATGTAAATTCTAAAGGAAGGAAAGAACAAAGTATTTAGTAATATGAAAATGATTTTAAATTCATTAGTATATTAGTATATTTGTGTTGCTATTTTCACTTGAATATTTTTATATTATACTTCCAAACCTGCTATTAGCCATAGATAAGAACCTTAAGGGTTTTCATATACAGATGATTATTATTATTCACAGTAGCTATATTCTTTAAGGTCATTTTGAACAATGAATTAGCAACTACTGAGTCATTGACTGTAGGAAAAATATAGGGTTAGGTTTCTGAAAGCTTCTGGTCACCATGTTTTCATCAGTCAGTTTACAATCTTATTTTATGAGTTTTATGTTTAAAGATACCTTATTTAGTATATATTATTGATTCATCTACATTAAACTCCTGGCCAATAGCACTATAATTTATTCCTGAACAAATCTTATCTAATGTGTGTTTCCACCGTAAAGTACATCACAGCCTTCTTGTGCTTAGCAACTTAGCACTACACTTTGGGATAATTATAAATAGTGAAATCACTAACAAAAAAAACACACACACACACACAAAAATGAAAAAAAAAGTATTAAATACACCACAAAAAGGACAACTTGTTTACAATATGAGAGCTGAAACAAGAAGGCAGAGCACTGCCTTGTTCAGTCTCAGCCAGGAATGTGTATATTGTGTGACTCAAAATTTTTGCTGTCCTGTGCACATCTGCAGATTAACACCAAAACACGGCAAGTATTGTTGGGAGTTACAAATAAATTTTAGTTAATAGGCAAATTTGCAAAGACAGAGTCAAGAATAATGATAATTTACTCCACTCATGTTTTATCTAGCCACTTTAGTGGACTTTATCTCTTTATTTTTTGAGACAGCATCTTCCTTTGTCACCCAGGCTGGAGTGCAGTAGTACAATCATGCCTCACTGCAACCTCAAATTGCTAGGCTTAAGCAATACTAGCACCTCAGCCTCCTGAGCAGCTGGGAGTACAGGCACAAACTGCCATGCCCAAGTGATTAAAAAACATATATTTTTTTGCTAGAGATGGGGTTTCATTATGTTGCCAAGGCTGGGACATTCTTATTAATTCATTGTCAAAATTTTCAATTGATTATTTTATTTTCTGTATATCTAATCATATATTATAGAAAGAATAGCGATCTCATATCATTCCCATTGACATTTCAAATTAAGCTCCATTCTGTTATCAAAAGTAATATATTCATTCACTATTATTTCAATCTTGTCAATTACATTTTATAACTTCACTATGTTTTTAAAATTGTTTTTTAAAAGTCCTATTTGTACCTGTGTCAGTTATTGACTTATTTTTCACAAATATAATCTTATTGTGATCAGCATATTTTGCTTTTCCTTTTACCCAATGTAGTGTTCTATCTAGGCAATAGACTGCTAGCACTGATGCATTTTGTGCAGTTTTGTGCTTGACTTGACAAGATTTCTATACTTATCATTCATGCTCAAGCAGCAATCCTTGAGACTATGACAAATTAAAAGAAAAAAATAAGTGTATTCTAATGTTGTCAGCATCAATGTTTTAAAGTAAAATATGCGTGTGAGGAACTTACCCATGCAACTGTACCGGGAATGGCTGACTTGATCTGAGATGGCACCACCAAGGTTGCCATCACATTAATAGGATAATGTTCATTGCTTGTGGCAGGTGTTGTTGAAACTGATGAATATGTTCAAGTCAGCCTGTCAGATGCAGGTTCCTCTTCGCCAAATGTCTGCTATTTACATTTTCATCATTGTTGCCATAAGTCCCTCCCTTGATTGCCTTTGTACATTACCCTCATGGCCAAGCCCAAGGCTTCACTCTCAAGTAATTAAGGAAATACAAAGCATTTTCTCTCATTATTAATAAGCTAAAAAATAATTCCATTGCACTCCTTTCTTAAATTGGGAATATTTTAATGGAAAATATTATACTTTTTAATATAAGTTTAAAAGAATTGAGAAATAACTGTTTTAATAACTTGGTGTTGAGGTTTAAAACCTTGATAACTAGGAATAAGTGATATGCAAAAAAACAAAATAAAAGGATTAGTATATGTTGTTTAATTTTTTAAGATATAAAAGTTATTATTTTATATCTCTGAATTTTGCTGCAACATTTTTAGAAGATGCTACATTTTTACATGAATAAAAATCAAGGCTAGTGAGAACACTGTAACATTCAGGTGATTTACTTAGCATGACCCTCTAAAATCAGGCTGCCTTATTGTTTGAAAGGCTGAGTTTTTCCTCATTGTGTCCATAGGGTGCTTTCTCATACTTCTATTCAGAGATCATTCAAGTATAAAGAATACCTAATAATTTCAGAACTCATATTAACTCTGCTGATGTGCAGGTAAAAAAAAAATTGCCCTTGGTGCTAATCAAGTGGTTCTGAGTTAAATAATATTTGCATGGCTGTTATTACATATTTAATAGCTAAATTATTTAAACCATATCATGTGTCTAAATGAGGTTAGCCGGGTAGAGTTGGTGGGATGATGTATTTTATGGTTTAAATTATTAGCCCAAAAGACCATTCAGTGCCCAAGTCATCAATTGGATACTATTACTTATATTTCTCCCAAGAAGCAAATACACACACACACACACACACACACACACACACACACTTATATTTCTCCCAAGAAGCAAATACACACACACACACACACACACACACACACACACACACACACGCCACACACATCAAATCATGCAGAATCAGCAGTCTCAAAATATCTTCTGATATTTTTAAGGGCTATCTGATTCTTTTTCCACAAAATGACACTGCAATCATCTACTCCCTTGACTTTTTTCCTTTTTCTCCAATTTACGTGAGCTAGAAATTTGCTGCTCTTGCCACCGTCATGCAGTTTCCCTGTGGTCTCAGCCCTCATTGGACTGCCATTGCGGCTGCTCAGTTAAATACCTTCTCATTTTTTTTTTCACTAACCTGATTCTCATTTAATCAGGTGAATATTCCTTCTGTTTTCTGCAAAATTGTTCTTTCAACAATTTTCTTGCCTTTGAATATCACAATGCTATAATTAATGTATCTGCTTCCTACATCTTTGCCAAGTTATAACTAATTTCTTCTCAAATTCAGGTTCCAATTTACCATTTCCAATCATTCCTTGACTCTTTTTTTTTTCTTTTTTGAGACAGAGTCTCACTTTGTTGCCCATGCTGAAGTGCAATGGCGTGATCTTGGCTCGCTGAACCTCCTGATTCTCCTGCCTCAGCCTGCTGAGTAGCTGGCACTACAGGCGCATGCCACCATGCCCAGCTAATTTTTTGTATTTTTAGTAGAAATGGGTTTTCACCTTGTTAGCCAGGATAGTCTCAATCTCCTGCCCTCGTGATCTGCCCACCTGGTCTCCCAAAGTGCTGGGATTACAGGCCTGAGCTACTGTGCCGGGCTCATTCCTCCATTCTTAAAGCTTTATTGATTGACTTTGTTCCTCTAGCCAACAAGTTGTCAACACATTTGAGTTCAATGAGAAATATTTATATTTATATTTATTACTATTTATAACTGTACTAGGATTCTTCAGTTATTTCAACTCTTTACTTCTGATCCAATTATATAGTAACTTATTTGAAGAAAAGACCAGTTTTTCCTATTATTTTTCTGGTTCATATAGCATTTATTACAAGTATCATATGTAAGATATTCTGAATAAATGTCTACTGAATGAATGATGTGTTAAAATATCCAGTGATGTTTTGTAAATATCCCACATTTTTCAAGGCAGCATTTGAGATTCTAGGTGGGTAGTTATAAATATATGTCTCTTTAAGAATATACATATGTTGGTATATTTATTTTAACAGTGTAATATAATTAATTTTAGCAAAATTCAGCCACTTTTGCCTCAGAAATAATTAAGTCAAGAGGATAAAAAATAATTGATCAATGTCACCAAAAGATTAAGACTAACGACAATTGTTCAACTATTTATAACTTAAGTTATGTGGCCTGTTTTTCGTTTGTTTGTTTTTTTATTTTGCTTTAATTTCTGGGATACATGTGCAGAACATGCAATTTTGTTACATAGGTATATGTGTGCCATAGTGGTTTGCTGCACGCATCAACTCATTATCTAGATTTTAAGCTCTGCAGGCATTAGTTATTTGTCCTAATGCTCTCCCTCCCCTGCCCACTCCCCTTCTCTTGCTCCCCGTCAGGACCCTGTGTGTGATGTTTCCCTCCATGTGTTCATGTGTTCTCACTTTTCAACTCTCACTTATGAGTAAGAACATGTGGTGTTTGGTTTTCTGTTCCTGTGTTAGTTTGCTGAGAATTATTGTTTCCAGCTTCATCATGTCCCTGCAAAGGACCAGAGATCACTCTTTTTCATGGTTGCATAGGATTCCATGGTATATGTGTGGTGTGGCCTATTTTAAAAGCTCTATTTTCTTTCTCTTCATCTTTCAACATTTTTTCACTGGCAGTTCATGAATGTTAATTAAGAAATTACTTAAGCTGTCTGACTCTGGTTTCCTCAGCTGTAAGACGTGTTAGGCAATGAGAATTATGTATGAGTAAAACAGAGTGCTGTCTTCAAGACCTTTATCTAATAAGGAGATTGAGATGAGATAGGAATATTCATACTTTTTGATCTATACATCCCATTTCTTGGTATTTATTTCAAGTAAATAATCCCTAATGCATGCAAATATTTTCATTTCATGGTTGCAAACATATTCACTTAAACTTTTTTTGAATGTTAGTCAGAATAGCAATCTTGACTGTTTGGAATAATAATTAAATGTTATCTGAGCAATAAATTGTGGAAGGAAAGATAGTTCTTAGATTTAATGTCTTTTCTTATATTCATTTTAAAAGACATTAAGCATTTTGACCAAACCCAATGGCTTCAATTTTCAGACTCATACCAAAGTAATGCATACAATTTGCTCCAAACTGCACAAAAGCCCATTTCATACTCACCAAAGCTGTTAGCCGATGCTTAAATTTGGAAGTTCACCCTCTGATCTTTTCTTTCTCTCATTCACACCTTCATTGATAATAAAAAATCTTATATTTAGAACAATAGGCCTGGTGTTAATAATTAAATTAAAAAAGAAAATTTCCTTTATCATTCATGACAAGACATGGTACAAAATACATTACCATTCCTGATGGCTAGCTACCAGTATATACTATTGTAGTTGACTCATATTAATGACATAGGAAGACTTAAAACTTTGTTTCAGATTAAAATATCTGTTCACAAAATAGTAGAAGCATGACTTGTAAGTTTAATGTCTATCACCTAAGCAATTTGCTTGATACCACATTTCACCTTATCTTGCTGGAGTTTAACAATATTTTTACTGCACTAGTGTAAGGCCTTATGCTTACAGAAATTCGACACAGTAAATGCTAATATATTTGTTAGAGAGCCTATATTTTCAAAATTGAAAACTAGAGGCCCTTTGATAAAAGTTATGCTACCCAGTGTGGGAGAACAATGGTTTATACATTATGTGGATATAATGAGAAAATACAAGGAAACTTTCAGGTTTAGGGTAGGAATAGTTATTCTCAGCCAAGGCTTAGTTGAGTCTGTAGTATATTCTTTGCTAGCCTAAGATAGGTACTCTTCATGTTCCAGGAAGAAGATTCTGAAATTCCACTCAGCTTTAATTAACTGTGTACTGTGTTTTAATGTCATCATAATTGAAAGAGTATGTTTAGCTATTTAAGGCAAAAGGAAAAGAAAATGGAAAAGGAAACAAAAGAATTGATTAAATATTTGAAATTTGAAAGGCCAAAAAGAGCAAATTACATAAATGAACAATTAAATCAACAGGAATTTCAAATTTTAAAAAGTAGAAAATATATTAAAATGTATTTTGAAATACTTAAGTTTATTGGCAATCAGAAAAATGCAATTCAAAATAAAAACATAAGATGTGAATCTATAAATGTGAAACATTCAATGCTAGTAAGAGTGCAGAAAATCAGGACCTCTCAATGACCAGAAGGAGCACAAACTAGTAAATCCTTCTGGTGAGTAATTTAGCAATATTCAATACTAGATTTAAAAATATAAAGACTTTTTGACCTATAAATTTTATGTATAATAATGTATCATGAGGAAATAAACATAAATTGGTAAACATATTTGCTTAGCTTCAAAGATGTTTATCATGAGGCTATTTGTAGTAATGAAAAATCCCCAAAGATGGTTAAATGTTTTTATCAACAATGTAAATTTGCACAATGTCACATAAGCATTAAATGTGTTGTAGGAGATTACATGGTGACATGATAGACTTCAAGATATATTGTTAAATGAAACATATACAATATAGAGCTCTGACACTAAACATCTTGGAAGCTGACACTCATCCTTAGAAGAAAAAGCTGAACTGGTCTCATCAGAGAACTATGGTCACAGGTCATATTGGCAACTTGAAACTTGGAGACTTGGGAATGTTTAGTGAGATACAACAATTGAGAACTGGAGTAGAAATTAATGAAAGTATAAACTGGCAGAAACAGTGAAATGGTAATGTTAATGAATTGCTGGAGGCAAAGTGCGGATTAACTTGAGAATAAAAAACTCCTATGGCTACCATTTTAGGAGACCTCACCACACTTTTGTGGAATTTCCCACGAGGAATTCTACCAGTAACCCACAGTTAGGATATAAGAAAAATCCCTTGGTTTGGGGAAAATAACCATTTTTAAATAGGCCTAGACCCTCTGTACAATGAATGTCTACTCTTCATAGTAAAGCACTTTGCCAAAACTCAATTTTGAAACTTTACTTCAGCAGGCACAGAAAGTTTCTCCCATCTGGATCATCCTCAAGCCTTCCTATATCACCTAAGCCTAAGGGGGTTGGAGGGTGGTGGAGATGAGGAGTGGGAAACATAGTCATCTGGAGCCAAAGCTTTAAGAAACCAGACTGAGAACATTGTAGCCAGGGAAGGGTTGAGGGAAGGGTTGAGGGAAGTGGGGAATGGTCAAAAGCTACATAACTGGACTTGAAAAGTCACAGTCCCAAGACAACAACCCACTGAAAGACTACAATTTAACC